CAAAAAACCAGCTTTTAGCTTTGTTGATTTTTGCTATGGTCTCTTTAGTTTCTTTTGCATTTATTTCTGCCCTAATTTTTAAGATTTCTTTCCTTCTACTAACCCTGGGGTTCTTCATTTCTTCCTTCTCTAGCTGCTTTAGGTGTAGAGTTAGGTTATTTATTTGACTTTTTTCTTGTTTCTTGAGGTAGGCCTGTAATGCTATGTATCTTCCCCTTAGCACTGCTGAAAAGCATGACTTTTCTTGTTTGAGAGGGTATACTGAGAGACTGTGACTATTGCTCTTAATAAGTACAACAGCATCAGAAGGTCTGGATCTATTACAGTGCCAGTTAAGGAGAGAAAATCCTGTCTTCTTTTCTGTTTGGATCTTACACACACAAAGTCTCTAGAAAGACTTTCAAAATGAGAACACATCATGACTTAAAAACAAAGTCCAGAATCAGACACCTCACTGCTAACATCCTGGTCTCGCCACCATTACCTCTTGCCTGGATTCCCACAGAAGCTTTGTGACAAGCTTCTCTCCCTCTATACTTGCCCCTCATAGGAAAAACTTCGGGTTGATTTCCAGCCTCTAAGTTACCATGTCAGTTTTCTGCTAATTTCCAAAGCCAAAGCCTTCATTTCTTTGCTGAGGGCTTTCTCTGACTTCCTGCGAAATGGCCCTCAACCAGTGATTGGAGGGAGTTGAGGAATAAACACTCAGCTCAGTTGCCCTGCTATCCGTAGGGTGACATGCATTTTACCCTGACTCCCAGTAATAGCCAGCTAACCTATGGCTTTGGGTTGAATTTAATCTCTGAATTTTAAGAAAAAACCAGCAAAGGAATTTTAAAATTACTTTTATTTTCTAGGTTTAAATAAAGTCCTTAATGTTATTTCAGAATAGGCCTAGGCTTCATATTTTGCTGTGTAAGCAAATCAATGCCACATCATACTAGGTTATGTATATAAAAAGAGATTTGGAGTGGATCTAGAGTACTGTGACAATGGAAAGTAAATCTCACATACAACATACAAATGTATATGTACACACAAGTATGTGTATATACAGCAGATAGATAACTTCCACTTAGTAGTAATTACAAAATGCAAAGGAAAAAACAAAATATGATTTTAAACGTTATGCTTCTACTTCTATTATTTTCCAAAGAATATTAAATAAATTAGCAGTTAGCAGCCATTATTTATTTCTGGTATTAAATTCATATAAGAAAACAACTTAAGCTCTAAAAATTACTGAAGGACAATATTTTCAACTTTAAATTAAAAAAAATTAAGTTGTCAATTTACTTTAGATCAGAAATATATGGATATAGGGAATTTTAAATATCAGAAATCATACTTGTTTATCAAGATGAAGAAAATCTGATATTGAATTTAGAATCCTAAATTTATTTGAAGCATGGATAAAGGTACTCAATTAACAAAACTACCACCTTAATAAGGTGCATGTTAAGATACTGTAAATTCTCCCAAATTGATTTACAGATTTTATACAATCCCTATTAAAGTACTAGTGAGCTTCTTTGCAGAAACTGACAAACTAATCCTAAAATTCCTGTCAAAATTCAAAGAACCCAGAAAAGCCAAACAATGTTCAAAATGAATAAAGCTGGAGGACTCATATTTTCTAATTCTAAAACTTACTACAAAACTATAGTAATCAAAATAGAATTGTATTGTCATATGATAGATCTATAGATTAATGGAATGGTATTGAGATGATAAAAATAAATTCTCACACTTACAGTCAATTGATTTGAAACAGGAGTCCCAAGATCATTCAGTGGAGATAGAAAGTCTTTTCCACAAGTAGTAAAAAATTACCATATTACCCAGAAATTCAACTCTTATTTACATATTCCAATGAAAAGGAAACAAAATTTGTAGACAAATATTCACAGTAGCATTTCAAAAAGCAGAAACAGCACAGATGTTCATCAACTCACGAGTGCAAAAACAAACTGTGCTATACCAATAATGTGTGGGTGCATGCTCAGTCACTTAGTCGTGTCCAACTCTTTGTGACCCCATGGACTGTAGCAAGCCAGGATCTACTGTCCCTGGAATTTTCCAGGCAAGAATACTGGAGTGGGTTGCCATTTCCCACTCCAGGGCACCTTCCTGACCCAGGGATTGAACCCATATCTCTTCATTGGCAGGCATATTCTTTATCATTGAGCCACCTGAGACACCCCTCTTATATCAATAATATCATATATTACTTGGCAATAGAAAGAAATTAAATATTCATCCACAATGTGGAATGAAACTTGAAAACATTAAGGCTAAGTAAAAGAAGCTAGTCATGAAAGACCACATACTGTATGACTCCATTTATATGAAATGGAATGAAAATATACTAGAGGAAACTCATATAAGGACAAAAAGTAGATTAGGGCTTGTCTACAGTTGAGAATGAGGCTTGGGGAAAAAGAGAGGGGGTGAGAAGGGAGTTTCTTTAGGGGAAGATGAAAACGTTCTATAATTGATTTTTGGTGATGGTTACACGATTTTGGATATACTAAAAACCCAAAATTTCACAGTTTAAATGGGTAAATTTTATGGCATATGAACTACAATTTAATAAAGCCATTTACAAAAAGCCAACAAAACTACACATTGGTAAGTAGAACCAGATCTCCAGAAAACTTTCTAAATGGGAGTAGGTAGGTAGGTTTTATTCTTCTGTGACACTCTGAATTTAAATTTTAGAAAACAAGTGATACAAAAGAAATAGAGACATACCAGTTATTCATATAACTAGTAATAACAAAAGGATACAGAGAAGTCGGAAATAAATGAATAAAAGGACCACCAAGTAAATATGATCAAAAAGAAAGTAGCAGTAGAAGTTTTTAAACTCTACAAAATAAATTATTTATTATGTATATTTATTACATTTGTTCCTTAAGTTTATGAGTGTTTTATCTCAACTTACATCTGTATCATTTACATTTGTTTTTCTCTTGTGAGTTGAGTTTTAACAGCATTCAAGAATGCTTTAAATAGATGAGGAGAAAAAGGAAGTTAGATTCAGATAGAGTTTTCAATTTTAAAAGTTCTGTTCTAAAGTTATTTGAAATTAAAGGTCAGAATGAAATTAGAGCACTTACTACAAAGTTAGAAATTAGAGCACTTCTCCCTAAGCAACAGAAGATATACCCACACATTATCTAATGTTCTAAGCTTCTGTGACAGCCTGTGATCTAGAGCAGTAAAAAATCAAGGACACAAAAGCTAAAAAAAAAAAATTTACTTAGAGAAATGTCTCTAAACACTGGTCCTTTGTATAGCATCATAAGGTCTGATTTAGTTCTATTTTTTTCAGAATAACCAAAAATTTTATGGACAAAATCAATTATATTTGTGCCTAGGTATTTGGAGGAGTCTATTGTTATATCCCTTGCTTTCCTCAAAGAAAGCAAAGTCTAAATATAGCAACATGAAGTCAGTCACATAAGGTCACTTTTTAAAAGGTGAATAAAATATTTCAACTGTAAGGTATTTTTAAATCTTCCTGTTTAAACATCTTACCATGTATAACACAAAAAACTTGGAAACTAAGCTTAGAATAAAATTACCATGCCTCAGAATGCTGTCATGAGTTGTTAATTACAATCTGTGGATTTTTGCTCTTTGGGAACCCCCATTATTTTCAGAAACCATGTCATGCACTACTTCAAGATCTGAATACCACATTTACTCGCACATAATCATTTCTCTTTCACCATACTCCATTTCCCCATTTGCAATATAATCCTGTACTAATACAGCCATAAAATAAAAATATTCACTATATTCTACAACCTTCAACATTCAAAAAGTGAAACTATGTAATTAAAATGCAACTCATCTCCACCCACCTTTAATAGTCAACTTTGTTAATAAAGATAGATGTGACCTGTTAACTGAGGGGTGTTGGGCACTCCAGGACTAAATACAGATGCTTTGTTTCTACCACAGTACCTATATCTTAAATTCCTTCAGTTCCTATCTGCCAGGGAAAGGGTGCCAGGTGAGCAGTCTGTCACTCTTGCCTAGACTAACAGATTCTCCAGTGGCGTTTGTTACAGCTCATGTCATACTATTAAAACCATGTGCCTTGAAAATGGCATAACATATGTAGCTGAATCTTGTCAATTCTAGACAATCAGACTCTGTTTGGCTTCACAAGCAGATGCAGATTAGAGAAGTAATATAAATATGCAAATCACAGCAGTCCCCTTTGCCCACCACTGTTCCTACCTCTAATGCCCCTCGCAGAAAGTCTGTGTGTTCAGCTCCCACTTCCAGCGCTACATCAACAGACGCAAAAGGTCGGCTGGCCATCTGCTGTCGTTCTCGAAGCAGTTGCTGGGGGGGTTAAAAAGCACTCGTTTTAAGACAGGTTTTAGGACACGTTAAATTCAACAATATCTAGTCCTGTTTGGAAAAACTGGCATTTAAAATTTAGAGGTTGTAATACACATATTCATATCTAGATCATTAAAAAGGAAAATTTTCTCCTCATGGCCTGGGTTATATTTCCGTATAGGCCTTAAATGTTTGATAACTCCTGACTGCCATCTCATAGGCCTAGTGAAAAGCACTTTGAAAACTTCAGGTGAGAGGTAGTACTTAAGTAAAAACTGCTATTATGATGACAGGTATGCCAAGTCTTTCCACTCAAAATAACTCATGTCTTTGTCCAAGCTGAAAGCAAACAGCAGTACAAATGATTGAGAAAAGAGAATGAAAAGTTGTCAAAATGCATTAATAGAGATTAAAGGAACATACACCCGCCAAGACCCAGTCTTGTAAGTCATCAAGATCCCCCCTGTCAATTGCTACAGCACCAGCAGGAATTTTTACTGTCAATGTTTTTAACTTTATTCAAAGCCATGGTGTTTATTATTTAAATGAAAATTATTAGTAGGTTGCAAAAATGTGTGCCAGGGCTTAAAACACTCTCAGATATTTGTTTCTTCTCTTTGCGTCTCTTTTTGGCTTTGCCCAAACAAAAACCAATAAACCAACAAGTCCCAACCAAGTACCCAGCTAATTTATATTTCTGTCTCCTCTTGTAATTATAATATTCATTAAGTCATGATAAGAAAAAATTGATGACCAGTACTAGATATTGCAAATCTTGCCCTCCTCATTCGACACAGCTAATAAAATTATTATTAAATATTAAAAGTAGATGAGCAATGCAATTAAACACTCTTTCAAATGAGAAGAAAATCATATCACTGAAGAAAGACAAAACCCTTGAACACAATGAATGGCTTCATTGTTCACAGAGATTTCTAAAGATTCACTGGCAGTAACTTAAAACATTAACAACTGGTCTTTGAATGTAAATGTACAGAGCACTGTGATGCATCATTCATAAAGTTCCCTTTCTCATGATGAAGGAACAAAAACCAACAACTAATGGAACTTGATTATTTAATATTTTTATTTTAACACTTGTGACACTGCAGTGACAGTGTTCATGTAATGAGCATCTCAAACATAATTTAAGGCCTTGCTTTTATTATTGAAGAAAGAACATTCACTTGCAAATATGGGACAGAAATAATGCAACCATTACCTAACTAGAGTTCAAGGTCTTAAATTGTATGTATTTTTAGAAGAAGATACATAATGAAGACATATTAAAAACATATTCAGAGTAAAAAGCAAATGTGATCTAAATCACCAAAATTATTCACTTTAATATAAACTCAGACTTGCACTATTAAAAATACAGCTGCTGGCCAAGAGAATCTTATTGTGTCTCTTTCGATAGGAGTGGCCAATTGATCTGAATACGGTGTCTATGCAAAATGCAAACATAATGTTACTCCAAATACCTATGGCTGCTAAGTGTAGAAGACACCATACTCTTTTTATCTCGTAAAACATAAATGCACACACAGATATACACACAGGAATACACAAACTGCCTCTGTTACAGTTAATATAATAATTCTCATGAGAAAACTATAAATTCTAGTTTGGATTAATGCAATTTTCTAACATTTGTATTAAAGTTTCTTCAGTTTTACTAGTTTCCCTTAGCTTGTAAATGCCATCTCCTATAACTGATTCTTTAAAAAAATAAACAATTTCTGTTTCTTCACCTTGCCTTTTTGCTACACCTAAAAGTAAAAGCTCTACAAAATATATTTAATGAGAACTCAGTCCCACAGATTGTAATGTAAATCTATGATTACTCTAAATTCACTATCTTTAACAAAGAATAGATTTCTCTGAAAAATAATGTATTATTGTGACCACCTCCTACACTCATAATAAAGAAAAACTAGTGATTGATAGTTTTATTCATTTAAAAACATGGACTAGTAGGACAAAAAGGTATTTTAAAAGATTCCAGTTTGTCTTCTGAGCATTGAGTTTTCATCAGTTTTTAAGAATTGAATGTTATTACAGTACTCTTTGCAAAGAGGAAAGACACTGTTCTTGCCCAGGACCATAACACTGAAGTTTGTAAAACAAGATACGGTGAAATTAAAATAATTAGAACACAAGACAGTGTAAAGTTTACAAACAGGGAATTAGCCAAATTAATTCACTCTGGGTCACGTAACAGAGGACGAGTTCGAGGACTTTGACTAGGGCACCAAGTTTCTGACTTTGGGAAACCTAATCCAATGGTTCCAACCAGGGAAACAGAGGGAGTAAAAAATTTTATCCTAAAACACTCTGGCTTTGATAGGATGGCCCTAAAATAATAATATGGAACAAAGTGGGATTCGTCACGCTACTAAATTCCTGGCTCTCAGCGGTGTCCTTAACAACTGTCCTTTCTTTTGCCAGTTAACATCTATAGGCATTACTTCTTGAATTTTGCCCCTTCTGTGTCAGAACAAAAGAGACATAAACAATTCAAATTTTATTCTCACAACTCAAATTTCCTGGAAATTTAATGATGATATTGACAGGCAATTTAGACTCTCGAATTAGAAGAATCTGTGTTTGAATACCTGGTTTTCTACTTTGTAGCTGTGTAAGGTACAATTTAGACCTCTCTGAATTATTTAGACCTCTGTAAACCTCACATTTTCTCATAGCAAAATTGGGCTATCAATAGTGTCTACACCTACAACTAGCCCTGAGAGAACTTGTTTTGATTCCCAGTTTCTCCACCCACTACCTACTGCACCATCATCAAATTACATAGACCTTTCTAAGGCTTATTCTCTCTATTAAACAGGAAGAGGAATACTATCAGAAGTTTTGCTAATACTTAATGCATTTGCACTGCTCAACACAGATTCTGGCACATTGTGAGAACTCAGTAACAGTTCATTGGTACAATTATTATGTTAAAATTTCAAGCCCTAATTTTGTCTTTAAAGATGGCACTCTAATTACCACAAGCCCGTTTTCTGCCCGTTTTCTTCGGCACTAGTGACACATTTTGCTCTATTAGTCTCCCTTTTAACAAATGTTGTAAATTTATGAGACAGTTGGAAAATGTCATGATTGTGGTAAAAATGAATTTAATTTGGAACTGCTTCCTGCCATTTGTGACTAAGAATGATAAAAACTCAACCTAAAAATTGCGAGGAAATGGAGTACTTCCATAAGAACTTTCAAAAATTATTTAGTGGTTGTGATTTTTATATAAAATGAAGTTTGACATTTTGTATACAGATAAGAAGCCATATAACAGATGATCTATTTTATAACTAATCTGCAGTTGCCAATTATTCAGCAGAAAGAAAAGGCCAAAAGAACAAACTGATCATAATGCAATAGATTATAATCATGTTGCCGTAAACACTATGGTGAAGGACATTTTAAAATTATGGATCATGCTCATAACACCATGTTCGTTATGTATAATAGTTGCTTTATTATTCAAAATCTCTTACAAAACAAACCATGAAATTAAAAATAATATGAAAATCCATGCTTAAAGATGGCAACTGAGAACAGTCATTGATTCTATCAAATGTATATATGAAATGCTTCCACACACTAATACTACTACAAATATATCAATCCCCAAAGTTCATGTTAATGACTTTTCCAATCACCCCTAAAGCTAAAACCCTAATGGATTTAGAATAATAATCTTTAAAAACACACACACTAACAAAACAAAACAAAACAAAACAGTAACCAACTTGTTTCCAGTTGTCTTCCTATTGCCTGCCTCCTGTATTCAGGTTCTATTTAGCCTCCCCCAACACCTCCAAATGCCCTTCCACTCCATCCCAGGTGTGAAGTAATCATCTCACCTACAAGTTATTTATGATATTAGTGTGGCACTATCTCCTCAAACCTTCATGCTTCCCTGAAATCTTTAAGGCAAAAATTCATTTCTGTTGTTTATTTCACTCAGGACTTAGTTTGTAGTCAATAGTATTTGATGAATGGACAATGAATGAGTGACTTACAGTATAAAAATCTGTATCATCTGAATGTGACTGAAGGCAAGTTTTGATTAAACTGATTTTAATCATTTGAAAAGGCTCTGATGCTGGGAAAGATTGAGGGCAGGAGGAGAAGGGGACGACAGAGGATGAGACGGTTGGATGGCATCACCGACTCAATGGACATGAGTTTCGGTAAACTCCAGGAGTTGGGGATGGACAGGGAGGCCTGGCGTGCTGCGGTTCATGGGGTCGCAAAGAGTCGGACATGACTGAGCGACTGAACTGAACTGAACTGAACTGAATTATGAAGAAGCTTTTAAAAGTATATGTTCTCTGATATTCTGCTTTCCTGGTGGCTCAGTCAGTCAAGAATCTGTCTGCAATGTGGGAAGACTTGGGTTTGATATCTGGTTGGGAAGATCCCCTGGAGAAGGGAATGGCAATCCACTCCAGTATTCTTGCCTGGAAAATTCCACGGACAGAGGAGCTTGGTGGGCTACAGTCCATGGGATCATAAAGAGCCAGACACGACTGAGCAACTAACACAATCATGCTGATATTCTACAATGTATGCCTTATGCTCAAAAGTAAGTGGATATTCATTTTTGTAGAATGGGTCAATTCTGTGGACCCAACAAATCACCACTAGGTTTATTACCTCTCTTCATTCACTTTATTACCATACTGTAAATATTATAAGGAAAACTGCCATAAAGTCATCATAATGCATTAATATTTTATTAGAAATTATTTCAGAGATTTGGAAAGATATAAAAGGAGCAATCAAAATTCTTTAGTCATTATTTTTGAGCTTACATACTAAAATGAACAACGAGCTTGAATTAGAAATAAAGCAACATTTCATGAAAAATTATTTCTATTATTAACACAAACACAACATAAAGTATAATCAAAAGATCAGTTTTTTTTTAGTGAAAGGATAGTACATCAATGAATTAGGAAAGCATGATAATCCGATCA